GCCAATTTAAATTAATAATATGTTGTTTCTAGAAATTTGCCAAATATAAAATGTTCACCTGTATTTATAGGTCTGGAAATTACCCTAAATCCCATTTTTTATCATTCCAAATTGTCTTTATAAATAAAATTAAACTTGTGGCGAGAACAAAGATGAAAAAGTCCCTAGATCTATATTCAAGAATTGAAAACGACATATGCCACAGATTTAATAAAAACAATGTCCACATGTACCATTTTCATTCTCTAAGTCCTTAGCTTTTTGTTTGAGCTGAAAACGTTACATAAAAAAAAAAAAAAAGAGTAATCAACAGCATGGATAAGTTTCATATTCATTCCATATTAGACAAGCTAAGCAAATACTCACAACTTTGTTAATTTTTACCTTTGTTCTTTAAAAGAATACATGCTATGTTTGCTTGGTATGCAAAGTCCAAGCAATTCGCAAACAATGCCATCAAGTTTAATAGGGAAAGCAATGAACACCTGGGTACATGATCTGAAAAGTGAATTTGGACATGTGGAACTAGCTAGTGTAGTGTTCTGCACCACACACCTAGCCGAATTCGTCAGGATTCAAGAAGTGTTACGTCACATGCGTTGAGGTCAGTATGGCGGTTGCATAGTTCGACTGGCGCACTTTTGTCTGTACACATGAAAATCTTCAACAAACATCTTACAGGCCAGGAGAAAACCCAAAAGAATTGTGTAATAACGTAAAACAAAAGGGGTTAGTGGAATGAGAGTGGTGTAAATAAAACGCTCAAAGGAAGGGAAAATGAGAAAATAAAATAGAGAAGGCCATAGAATGGTTATTGAGTATTTTTTTTTTTTTATTATTTTCCTTAGAGCTTGATTGTAGACATGTGATTGCAGGTATAGTAAATAGAATCAAAACAATAAATAATATATATATACAGTTGCAAGAAAAAGTATGTGAACCCTTTGGAATGATATGGATTTCTGCACAAATTGGTCATAAAATGTGATCTGATCATCATCTAAGTCACAACAATAGACAATCACAGTCTTCTTAAACTAATAACACACAAAGAATGAAATGTTGCCATGTTTTTATTGAACACACCATGTAAACATTCACAGTGCAGGTGGAAAAAGTATGTGAACCCTTGGATTTAATAACTGGTTGAACCTCCTTTGGCAGCAATAACTTCAACCAAACATTTCCTGTAGTTGCAGATCAGATGTGCACAACGGTCAGGAGTAATTCTTGACCATTCCTCTTTACAGAACTGTTTCAGTTCAGCAATATTCTTGGGATGTCTGGTGTGAATCGCTTTCTTGAGGTCATGCCACAGCATCTCAATCGGGTTGAGGTCAGGACTCTGACTGGGCCACTACAGAAGGCATATTTTCTTCTGTTTAAGCCATTCTGTTGTTGATTTACTTCTATGCTTTGGGTCATAGTCCTGTTGCAACATCCATCTTCTGTTGAGCTTCAGCTGGTAAACAGATGGCCTTAAGTTCTCCTGCAAAATGTCTTGATAAACTTGGAAATTCATTTTTCCTTCGATGATAGCAATCCGTCCAGGCCCTGACGCAGCAAAGCAGCCCCAAACCATGATGCCCCCACCACCATACTTCACAGTTGGGATGAGGTTTTAATGTTGGTGTGCTGTGCCTTTTTTTCGCCACACATAGTGTTGCGTGTTTCTTCCAAACAACTCAACTTTGGTTTCATCTGTCCACAGAATATTTTGCCAGTACTGCTGTGGAACATCCAGGTGCTCTTGTGCAAACTGTAAACGTGCAGCAATGTTTTGTTTGGACAGCAGTGGCTTCCTCTGTGGTATCCTCCCATGAAATTCATTCTTGTTTAGTGTTTTACGTATTGTAGATTCGCTAACAGGGATGTTAGCGTTTGCCAGTGACTTTTGTAAGTCTTTAGCTGACACTCTAGGATTCTTCTTCACCTCATTGAGCAGTCTGCGCTGTGCTCTTGCAGTCATCTTTACAGGACGGCCACTCCTAGGGAGAGTAGCAGCAGTGCTGAACTTTCTCCATTTATAGACAATTTGTCTTACCGTGGACTGATGAACAGCAAGGCTTTTGGAGATACTTTTATAACCCTTTCCAGCTTTATGCAAGTCAACAATTCTTTATCGTAGGTCTTCTGAGAGCTCTTTTGTGCGAGGCATCATTCTCATGGCAATGCTTCTTGTGAAAAGCAAACCCAGAACTGGTGAGTGTTTTTTATAGGGCAGGGCAGCTGTAACCAACACCTCCAATCTCATCTCATTGATTGGACTCCAGTTGGCTGACATCTCACTCCAATTAGCTCTTGGAGATGTCATTAGTCTAGGGGTTCACATACTTTTTCCACCGGCACTGTGAATGTTTACATGGTGTGTTCAATAAAAACATGGCAACATTTCATTCTGTGTTTGTTATTAGTTTAAGCAGACTGTGATTGTCTATTGTTGTGACTTAGATGATGATCAGATCACATTTTATGACCAATTTGTGCAGAAATCCATGTAAATATATCCATTCACATTCCTACAAGCTACATATTTTCTATCACTTGGAATGACAGGATATAGGTAAGTCAACAAGGAGGTTTTCCTGGAAGGAGGATATTAAAGAAAGGAGGTGTAATTATTGGAGGGCAAAGTTGGTTTGGTATCTGCTATTTAAAGTGATAAAGTTTGTGCTTAACACCAAAAGTCTATTTTTTTTTTCTTTTAACCCCTAACTATGGAGTGGATACTAAATCAAGCTTTCTGTGCCATGAATTATGGAAGTCTTTTCATTTTTTCTATCCATCTTGTTTCTCAGCTTTTTTTATTGCCTTAATGAAGGCTTCATAATGCAGAAAACCTCAACCCCAGTCTCTTTGTGATCAAATTAACTATGTAGATTAGTATTTACATGACCAAATGGAATAGTTCTGTTTACGGTACACCATCTTCCCAGTATTAAATGAATAAAGAATGACTGAGCGAAAGATGCTAGACTGTTACTGCCTTTGTTTGGCCTAGCATTACTTGAGTTAGAGCAACACTAATATCATAATTAGTCAGCGAGTTCAATAGAGACTGAGCCATCATCACTTACCCTGTTTGTTTCTGGATGCCACTGTTATATGGCTGAGACATAACATATAATACAAGAAACACAAGTGCCAAGTATGTTCATTTGGCACAGCTGTATGTGGTTGCAACGTGCTTCACTAGAGGATGTCAGCGATTTCATAATAAAATGCTGAAATCTCTGCGCGACATAATCTCTTATCTTCTGAAATGTAAAATGTGATCTAAACACTTGTTTTCCTGAATCTACAGCGTGATCATACGTCTTATGCAGAATATTTTGGGGGTGTGCACAAAGAATTGTTTATTCTATATTTGGTAAGAAAATGCTAACATTATTCAAATTATCTGATTGATATCAAAGAAAATGCATTTTTGCTAATCATGTGTACATAAATCAAAATTAATTACTTTAATATAAACTGCCAGCTAAATGATAGTCTATAAAGATATGATTAATATATACAGTATATAGACAATTTTCATATACTTTCTCTTCTGCCAGAGGGTGAGTAATATTAACTCATAATGATGAAAAATAAAGAGAGGGATATGGATGGCGGTATTGGGGACAAGTTAACCCTAGATTCGGCATACCTGGCACACCTGTTGCACACAATTATGTTGTTATTATTATTGGCATTTATGTGATATAATTACTCTCCATATTCACTAAAGAGGGAATGGGTAGGAATGGAAAAAAGAGTGCCAGATTTTAGATCAAAATAATAATCTCATAATAAATTCTTGCCAAGAGATATTCCAATCATGTAATGGATTAATGTGTTGCATACTTGACAAAATATTTTTTGTGAGCCTTCTTGTTGCTATGGAGCAGTCTGATGAGTGATTTGTAATTGTTTGCACTAATTGGTAATCATCAAGGCTAATTAACTATTTTCTGTCAGCCACACATAGTAATTATACAGTATTCTAACATAAATTAATGTTAACCCCACAAAGCAAGTTGTTACGAAGTCTTTGAGTACCATTCCAAAATGTAATAGATTGGTAATCTTTCTGGTCCTTGTGGGGTTAATTCAAAGATAATATACCAAAAGTACAATATATATTTATAAATAATTAGATTATGTTACGGCAGTGCATTAGCTTCCTGTACTAAAATATCTATACATACAGTCTGTAAAATGGCTAATATTAGTAATAGCTTCTAATGTATGTTACTTTGATGTAAAGTTATCTAAAACAAATATGGCAAGTTGATCTCAATCACAAGGTTATTAAGTTGCTACGTGAAAATAACATATGAACATACGTAAGTTGAAAAATATATCAATATTTATGTGCTATTTTATATTTATAACTAATGGCAATAATATTTAACCCCTGAATGATGAGTTGTTGGATCCATTATATCATATCATCTGTCCTAAAGTGATTGAAAGGCATACTTACCATGGTCCATTGCAGTGGTTATGGTGTAAAGATTGTTAGGGTGCAGTTTCCGTGATTTGTGTCAGATTATTTGTGTTTTCGAGTGACTCAAAGTCCTGCTCTTCTCTGGTAGATCTGGTAATGTGGAAATGAGCATCTGTATCTAATTTTGGAGAGCAATTATAGGCTGAGAACACCTGGAGGTAAATTACCCAAGTATTCTCTGTCTATGATTGTCATCCAAAATTTTGGATGACTTATGCAAAAGTTTGCTTTTACATTAGAGGGTCCACGGACATTTTGGGGGCCTGGGAGAGCTCTGGTGTTTGACAAAAAGCTCAAAATGTTTTGACAGAAACTGGGGAGAAGGCACACAAACACACAATGATTGGTTTGGTGCTTAGAGTGTTCCTAAAATCTATACTATACAAATTGACACTGTCAAGGGGCGTGTCCGGCTGCCAACGAAGCTGGCCGCGGGAACGAGCTGCTCCTCGTGGCCCCAGCAATAATCTCGCCAAACAGAGCTTACCCCACGCGCAATCAACTCACCATGGGGCGCACAAAGAAGCTGACAGAACCCCAGGGTACCCCCAGACCATCGGGATCCGCGGTCGAGCCATCTATCCGCTCCTTCCTCACAACTCCACGGGACTTCGCGTCCCAACCAGAAATGGAGAGCTCAAATGAGACCGCGACCCCCGCCGGATTCTCTCTGGCTTCATCAGCCTCGCCGGAAGCGCAGGGGACACTAGATGGGGACCTGCGAGCCCTCCTGCCCAATCTGCTTACCAAGGTAGATCTGGAAGCCCTCTCAGACCGCCTCAGCAGAGTTATTAGGGATGAACTGGCCCAGGTGAGGGCGGATGTAGCCTCTATGGACGCATGACTTATGGCTTCAGAGACAGATACCAGAGCCCTCCGATCTGACCATGAACTCGCCCGCACTTCAATTAACAGCTGTGAAGCCAGCTTGGCCCACCTAACCACCTGGGTTGATGATCTCGATAATAGGGGCTGCAGGCCTAACCTCAGAGTGCGGGTGGTGAGGGGGGCCCGACAGAACCTACTCGAGATCCTACGCACCGTCTTCAGCCATGCCCTGGGAGGACAACAAATCCATAGACTGGGCCTGGTCAGAGCCCACCACGCTCTGTGCGCACCACCTGCAACCGGCGAACAGCCACGGGATATTGTCTGCTGCCTAGACAATTTTGCCATGAAGGAAGATATCTTCCGCGGCGCACACCGCATGGGCACAATCCGCATCGATAACCAGCATATATCCATCTACCAGGACATCTCCCGCTACACCCTGCAGGCAAGAAAGGCTCTCAGACCAATAACCATAGCACTCCAAGCGGCAGGTATTCCTTACAGATGGAAATACCCCTTCTGTCTATCCGCACGCAGAGGACCGGACCTCCACGTTATACGGACCCCGACGGACGCCCCTGAATTCCAGCGCTCCCTAGGGCTCCCGCTTGTACAGGTTCCAAACTGGATGGCCCACCAATTCATACGCCAAGCTATGGGCCCTCCACCGCCACCACCAGGCAGAGATCAGGGCAGGGACAGGCGCCAACGTGACCGCCCATGGCACCCGGACCCAACAAGGCCAGAAGAATAAAACGCGTAGCAAGACCCTCCAACACTCAACAAACTTGTGAGTACTTTCCATTGTCTGGGGACACTGTCTATACATACACTGCACCACAGGGAGGGATACGACATACACCTTGGGGAGGGGGGGCACGTAGGGGACCAGGACACAGATGCACATAGGGACTAAACTTAAGCCTTCCATACGGGGACACATACGATGCTACAGGCGGAAGGACTACAGGCCTACAAAACAGAAGACATTACAAGAGGCCTGGATAATCCGAACTCAGTGGCACCAATGGCCCTCCAGGACTGATCACAGCTAAATAAGGCCTAGCTGCTACAATTTGGTGGGAGGATGGGAGGAGGGGGGAGAAGGGGCTGTTATTAACCGCACAGAAGCATGGCACCCAGT